GAGACTACAAAATGAAAGAGTACTGATAAAAAGAAAAAGTGTTGATACAAAAAAGAAAAAATGAGTTTGAGGCCAGTCTGGACCACACAGAAAGTTCGGAGTCAGGTTGAGGCACATATCAAGTCAAAAAAATAAAACAAAACTAAACAACTTGAGAAAAAAAATTACTGATAACTTAAATTTTTTTTATATAAAACGAAGAATACACACTGATCAGGGGCCAGGGGACATAGCTCATGGCACCGTACCTGCCTGGCAAGCCCAAGGTCCTGAATTTGATCCACGATACAAAAAACGAAACAAAACAAAACAAAAAAACACAGATCATTTCAGTCTTGAAACTAAGCTCAGTTAACCAGGTGGTCTGTCTTTCTCTTATTACCATCCACCAGGGAGGGCACAGCCATTAAAAACACAAAAACACAAAGAGCTGGTCTCTTTTGGTTCTAAACCTATGCCTTTGCTTATATATTTAGCAAGCAAAAATAAACAGTAAAAGTGAACAGGGGAACTTCAGGATTTTTAAAGAAGATGATTTAAAGCTGTCCCAAAACTATGTAATAGTTCATTTTGTAGAGTAAAACAGTGAGGGTAACACACACACACACACACAAACACACACACACACGTATACATGCAGCTTACAACATGATTTCACATTCAGTATATTTCTACATTATACTGCCAAGAGGTTGAACATATTTCCAAGAAGTTTAATTTTTCCAGTAAAATAATGTCAGAGAAGGAGGTAAAATGAGATCCTCTGAAGCAGCCAGGCAACAGCTGCAAAGTCTAAGCTTACAGGAAATGATTTTATTACCTTATTATGGATAAAGTATTATTAATTCACAGGGAAAAAAAGATTAACAATTATAACTAAACAGAAAAAAAAGCACTGAAGGGGCCAAGATAGGAGGATTGCAGTGAGTTCAAAGCCAGCCTGAACCCCAAAGGCAGTCCCTCCCTAAAAACAAACAAACAAAAAAACAAATTAAAAAAAAAAATAAATAAATAAAAAAGCCGGGGGTGGTGGCACATGCCTGTAATCCCAGCAACTCAGGAGGCTGAGGCAGGAGGATTGCTGTGAGTTCGAGACCAGCCTGGGCTACACAGTGAATTCCAGGTCAGTCTCAACTACATAGTGAGACCCTGTCTCAAAAAACCAAAAATAAATAAATAAACAAACAAATAAATAAAAAGGGAAACTTGTATCTTCAACAGAGACTGTTAAAAAAGTAAATATTCTTAGCTCTTACAAAATGGCCTTTCAGTGTCTCATTCTGGATCCTTTGCCAGTGTGGAACTGCTGATACCCTACAGAAATGTGTGCATTTTCTTTTTTCTATTTTTGATACCAGGGATCCAACTGAGGACCTTGTGTTTGTGGGGTAGGCGCATTGCCACTGAGCTAAATCCCCAGCCCATAAATGCATTTTCTTAGTGCAAAAAGAACATTGTCAATACAAGGTAGCACTAGCATATGACATTTTAAATGGCAGACTTCCCTTAAAGCATAATTTAGCAATGACAATGCCTCCTGTTAGGTGTTCTCTAGCACCTAAGTTATAAACCTTTTAGAAATTGCAAGAATCCAAATTGTTAGCATAAACAGTTCCTCAGTCTCCCTTTCCTATGAAGAGCCAAACTGCTAAATAAAACAACTTAGAGCAATAAGAAAACAGACATCATTACACAGCCCAGAAAGTGTCTTAATTTTCCAGGTTGTTAAATTCAGGTTTTTTTTTTTTTTTTGAGACAAGGTCTCACTATGTAGTTCAGACTGCCCTGGAACTCACTATGTAGCCCAGACTGGTTTTGAACTCACAGGGATCCTCTTGCCTCAGCCTCCCTAGTGCTGGGATTACAGGTGTGTGCCACCACACCAGGCTAAATGCAGTTTTTATAATATTTTCTCATTTCTATTTCCATAAATTTGTAGCCTATAAAGCACTAGAGCATTAAATCCTAATTTTCCAAAACATTTTAAATAATTCTAGTTATGTGTACTAGTGCACGTGTAACAATTCCAGCACTCAGGAAGCTAAAGGCAGGAAGATCACAATGAGTTTGAGGACCATGTGGGCTATATGGTATAATAGTTCACAGCCAGTCTGAACTACACAGTGAGACTCTATATCAAAAAACAAAACAAAAAAACTAAAGAATTTCTCAAGTCTGGAATTAAAACTAACAGGAATGTCCTAGAGAAGAAGAACTAACCACAAAGTCCTATCTCTGGATGTTGTCTCATCACTAAAGTATCTATCTGTACCTCAATTTCCTCATACAAAAAATAAGGCAGTTGTACCAAACGACTAGTCAGGTTCCTTTTAGTTCTAACTTTCTACTCCAAGGCCTCCAATACACCATAAAAATTACTGGTTTAAACAAGATGGAGTGGTGCACAGCTACAGTCCCAACTATTCCAGGAGGCTGAGTAAGGAGGATCCCAAATGTGATCACTCTGGACAACCTAGGAAAACTTTGTCTTAAAATTTTAAAATAAATATACAGGGCCAGGGATTTAGCTCAGTGGTGCCATGCCTGCCTCACAAGTATAAGGTCCTGAGTTTGAACCCTGGTCCAAAAAAAAAAAAAAAAAAAAAATTTTTTTTTTTAAAGGGCTGAGAATGCAGCTCAGTGGTAAAGTACTTGCCTAGCATGCATGAGGACCTGGGTCTTACTGAAGCCAGGATATAAGGAAATTAGGCAGACAGAGCACGGGTCCTGAATAGTTAACTTTTTTTTTTTTTAATTATTAATTTTTTTGGTGGGGTACAGGGGAGTGAATTCTGGTTTTTGCGCTTGCAAGGCAGCGGGTGGCACCACTGAGCTAAATCCCCAGTCCATTAATTAAATTTTCTTTTTTTTTTTTTGGTGCTGGGGATTGAACTCAGGACCTTGCTCTTGTGAGGCAGGTGCTGGAACCACTGAGCCAAATCCCCAGCACCCCATGCATAACTTAAACTAAACTAAAAATCAGTGTAAGTGAATTAAAATACCAAAACAGACTACTAGGATCTAATAAAATGCAACAGACAAAGAATTGGTCTTTATTAACCAAATGGAGACAGAGCTCGAGGAAATTAAATATAAATAAAGCAGCTTGCTTTCCAGACATCAAAGGCCTACGGTGCAACCAGGAACATAAAAATTGTATAAAAAGCCAAGAAGACCTAAATATCTGTAGTGTCTGCCTTCCAGATCACCCCTCTTTGACTAGTAGAGAGGTTCCCTTTTATTCTTTCTAATAAACACAGGTTTGGCCATTCCCCACCACTTGCTGTTTGCTGTTTTGTACACTTCAATCTTTGTTTCCCCAAAATAAGGATCCAAGATCTGGTTACAGTACCACAAAAAAACAAACAAACAAAAATTGTCTTGTCAAAGCTTAAAATGCAACCATTTAAAATACATAAGACGGCCGGGGATTTAGCTCAGCGGTTCAGTGGCCTGCCTTGCAAGTGCAAGGACCCGAGTTCAATCCCCCGGTACCAAAAATAAATAAATAAATACATAAAATACATAAGAATCATCATACATAGTGGCATATGCCTTTAATCCCATACTAAGGAGGCTGAGGCAGGAGGATCGCTGTGAGTTCAAGACCAGCCTGGACTACGTAGTGAGACCATCTCAAAATAAAAAAGGGTTGAGGATGCAGCTCAGTGTTACAGCACTTGCCTAGCATGCACACAAGCTCCTTCTTCCCCCAAAAAAGATCACCCAGGGAATGTGTTGAAAAAATTTTCTGGAATCCATTAGATTGCTTATTCCTCAATTATTAAGTTACACCTCATAGGATATAGCTGATGATTTAGTAACTACTCACAGATAGATCAAATTCATAATAAACTTTTTTTCAATACTGACGGTTGAACCCAGGGCCTTCCACTGAGCTACATCTCCATCTCCAGCCCAATGTGGTTTTTTTCCTTTTTTTTTGGTACTGGGAATTGAGCTCAGGACCTTGTGCTTATACAAGGTAGGCGCTCGGACAGCCCATTGTTTTTTTTTTTAATTCTGAGACAGAGTCTCGTTAATTTGCCCAAATTAGGTTGAACATTTGATCCTCCTGCCTCAGTCTCTTATAAAGCTGGGATTACAGGTGTGCACCACTGCACCGTACTCATAATTTTTATTCTATTCAGTTGACCTTAAGAAAGACCTAAACCTAAGAAAGTCTTTAAAATATTTATTTATTTATGTATTTTTGTGGTTATGGGGATCCAATCTAGGGCTTCACAAACACTAGACAAGTGCTGTATCACCAAACTACAACTGCAGGCCTAATTTGATATTTTTAAAGGGGTGTTTAAAAAAAAAAGAAGAGGCTGGGCACAGAGGCACAAGTACTCTGGGAGGCTGAGGCAGGAGGATCACAAGTTTCAGCCCAGCAAGGGCAAGTCAGTGAATTTTCAAGCCCATCTTACTAATTAAAGTTTTAAAAAGACTAGTAATGCAGCTCATTGTCAAGTTCCTGAGTTCAATCCCCAGAACAACAAAAAAGAAAAACCCACACATACAAAAAAATCAGAATGTGGCTAGGACCATACATGACCCACAAGGCCTGAATATACTACCTAATTCTTTATAGAAAAAGTCTGACAGTTTTGCTCTGGAGCACCAGAGAAACTGGGAAGCACAGAGATTCCAAGACACTGACCACAAATGTACATTTCGTATCAGATGAACTGAAAAGTTTCCATGCATTCAGTTCCAAATTATTTAAATAAAAAATTATATATTTTCTGCTCGCCTAAATGATTAGGCCTTGATAAGTGTCACCCTTAATATGTACTTATATTCCCCTCCTTAGACTTAAAAGTTTCAGCTAAGTGCTGAAGTTAGTTAACAATAAAAGCAAAAGATTAGAAGTCTTGCCTCAACGTGGTGACCCCAGCACTAGGCAGGCTGAGATCAGAGGATTGCCATGGGCTATGTAGAGAGGCTAGTGTGAATTAGATTGAGGCTCTCTCAAAAAAGAAAAGAAGCCTTACCTGGCGTATTTGCAATAGCCGCCAATGGCAGGCCTGGAAGCTGGTGCACCTGGATTCCTGGAGTGCCCAATGCACTGAGGTTAATGGTCTGGAGGCCTGGCATGGAGGAGAGTTGAGCAGCATTCACAGTGACTGTGCCGGCAGGGATGGAGGCAGCTGAGGCAATAGGTGTAAGGGTGGTGTTGCTGCTGCTGGTCTGACCCAAGGAAACACCCTGCATTGGGGCCAAGGTGATTGTCTGGGCTTGAGGGTTCTGCACTTGGAGGTTTTGCAGCTGTAGAGTCTGCCAACTGACTTGTCCATTAGGCCCTACTGTTGGTGTTCGGATGATGATGGGGCCAGAGTTTGGAACAGCCTGAAGCTGGAGGTTCTGGAGGGTTTCCTGGGAGATAGCTTGAGTTGTAAAGCTCTGCCCTGGCAATGGCGCTGTTTGCAGGGCCTGAAGTGCCTGTCCCCCTTGAACTAGCTGAGGCTGAATAAGAATCTGTTGTTGTGTCTGCTGGTTTTGCTCTCCCTCTTTTTGCTGACTTGCTTGCAGTGAGCCTCCAGATGTCTGGTTCTGCTGGATATTGAGAGCATCAGACCCCTGCAGCCCACTGACTCTCTGGGGCGTCTGGCCTTGAGAGTTGGTCCCTGATGATCCGCTGGTGGTAAAGTTCATAATTCCCATGTTGCTGGTAGTAGTAGTTGTTGAGTAGCTATTGGCATTGGTGAAAAAGGAGCTGGAACTGGCTTGTGATGATACCAAGCTGGCAGAACTGGCAGTTCCTGAAGTGACAGGCTGTGAGCCACTCTCCTGGGACCCGGAGCTGCTAATTGTGACTGCCTGAGAGCTGGGAGTCAAGGTAGCTGCAGAAACGCTGTTGACAGGTAGCAAAGTGATGTTCCCATTCAGCGCCACTGGTACATTGGTCACGTACTGAGTCTGTCCTGAGAGCACATTATTAGCCAGGCCTTGGAGGGGGACAGCCTGCTGAAGTAGGTTTGGCATAGCAGCAATGATGTTGCCGCCACTTCCTCGATTTGTAATGATCTGTTGGTTTGCACCTGGTATGATCTGTATTTGACCAGAACTATCCTGCTGCACTTGAGCCCCAGTGGCGGCAAATTGCAGCTGTTGCCCATCAACGGTCTGGAACTGTGGGATTACTTGATACTGAATGTTAGGCATCACTCCAGATAGTCCTGTCAGAACCTGCTGATTCTGTAAGTTGGGGGTGGCAGCCACAACATACTGCCCACCAGAGACTGTGCGATTCTTGGAAGACTCACTGCCATTACTGCCATTGGTACTGTTGCCACTCTGTTCCTTTGAGGTAGGGGTAGCCCCAGAGGAGGAAGAGATGATTTGCCAGCCATTGGCACCCTGTGAAAGTTGTGTAGCTGTGAGGTCAAGCTCACCTGTGCCCCCTGACTGGCTTGGGCCCTGGGAGTTGTTGCTGTTCTCATTGGGTGACTCAATTCTGCTGCAGGTTGCTGCCAGCAGAGCCAAAGGGGATGGCTGGGATTCCTGCCCAGGAAATAGAGGAGAGGAAAGGAGTTAGTGACACCCATCTGCCAGCCTAGGGGGCAGTGTACAACAAATAAACAGCAACACAGTGGAAAAAAAAAAAAAAAAAAAAAAAAAAA